ATTGACAGTATTTCTGATTTGACAAAGCTTTGTAAGAAATTGGAAAATTCCCTTCAGGTCACAAACCAATTTAAAAATTTAAATTTTAAAAATTCTGGATATATGGAACCAGACTTGAGTCGTCCTGGCCCATCTTTTTCTGGCAATGTCAATGCCGTTTATTTTAGTGAGAACCTTATTTGTTGGAATTGTCTTGAAAGAGGACATAAATATCAAAATTGTAATCAACAACGTTCAATATTTTGTTTTGGTTGTGGCAAAAAGGGTGTTGTAAATAACAAATGTTCAATATGTAATAACAATAGGGGCCTAAATACTCGTTTTAATAATTCAAAAAACGAGGTAGCTTCCGGCAGTACTTCCAGTATTGTCGCAAATCAGAAACAAACCAAAACTACACAAAACAAGTCCAAAAATCAAAAGTAAGTGTTTCCGAGTGGAATAAGTGGCTTAGTTTTGTGAAGAATTTTCTCACTAATGTTAAACCACAATGTAAACAAAGTTTTGTCAAACCTTCTCAATTTTCTCTAAATTTATCTTTACCTGTACCTGATTCAGAAAATATTTTGCCAGTATCGCCAAGAATTTCTGTATCTAAAAATTTATCTTTACCTTTACCTAATTTACCTAATATTTCTAATACTATTAGTCCTTTGTTTATTAAAAAGGATTTTGATGATAGACCTTATGTAAATATTAATGTTTACAACCTTTCTCTGTTGGCATTAGTTGATAGTGGCAGCTGTTCTTCAATTTTGGGATCAGATGGTTTTAATATCTTACAATCTCTTAACTTATCTTTATCGACTGATTCTTCTTTCCTTGTTACAACCGCTGATGGCCAGAAATAAAATGTCTTGGGTTATGTGTGGGTCCCAATTACTTTAAATCAAATAACTTGTCCTATCAAACTCTTAGTTATACCTTCTCTTAAGCATACTTTGATTTTGGGTATTGATTTTTTAAAGGAACTCAGTATTGAATTGGACTTTAAAAATTTTAATTTGTAACAAATTAACTCAGATTTGTATACTTTAAGGAAAAGATAACCCAGGGTCGTGAATTCATGAAAAATTAAGATAACGTGTAGTCCCTTTATGTGCAAATGAAACCACTCAAAAATCCAACAATAAATAATTTTATTTAATTTGATTCACAATGTTATGCAAAATGTCACTGCTAACAGCTTGGTTGTTTTGGTGAATCTGACACCAAGTACCTGCTTTCTAATCCGGAGCTCTTCAATGGGTGTTGGGGTTTTACTTTCGTGAACTGGAGCTCTTGGTGTTGTTTCCTGTTTCCAGGAAGAGGGTAGATTGCTGGGGTGACGTCACTCCAGCTGATCCAGACTCCAAACAGTGATCTTTAGGTAGAGTAGGTACCCAGAAAAGAATAAGGCAGTATCAGGTTCACCAATATTTAGAATATTAAATCCCTGAATTCTGTTAAAAAGTGAGTGTCTTGCAAAAGAAATTAAAATTGGAATTTAATATAAAATGATTGTTGCACAGACACTCTCCTTCAACAGAATCAGGTATAAAAACTATTGCAAGTAGAAAAATTAATATTTTAATATAAAAAAATAATTAAATAATTAAGATTGATGGTAAGATAATAAAAAAAATAAGAATAATAACAGGAATATATTATAATGATTAGGTATATAATGCTCGTTATAATTGAGCAAAATGCTGCTTCCTTGAAAAACAACTCTGGCCGGCAAGATACAAGAAATAAGGTGAGTACAAAAAAAAATAAGAAATCAAATGTCTGGATTCCTCCCCAAATAGACAAAATTCTCCCCTCGAATTAAGTTAGCTACCACAGATACTAGATAAACCTAGGGTTGAAATTAATCAAATCCAGAACGTGTCAAAATTCTTAAGATGTTTTAATTAAAACTTTTAAACTGAACTTTTGACCTGTCTGGATTTCTATTAATAAAAATTACGCCCTTTTAGTTAAGATATTTAAGATAGGATAATTTAGGGAGTCAAGCAGAAAATGGTTATTCAGGCCTCTGCCTGGATTCAATAAAGGATTAATGGGGTGGACTCACAAATTTGGTTTTCACCGACTCTATTTAGAGCAAATGGTCCAGTTTTCCCACACTAAAAATTGATTCTGAAAGCCAGAACAGCAGTACCTATTTAAAACCAAAAATAAAAAGTCTTGACTCACCAAATATTTGGGACCTCGTGTGGTACTAACCAATAAATAATTCACACAAAATGGAAGCCAACAATTAGATAAAAAAACTTTAAAATATAATATTTATATTTCAGGAACAGATAAGATAAGATTAATTTGAATATTGAAAATCTATGGGGGAGTATCCATAAATTCAGAGCACAAAAATTATTTAAAAAAAAAAGGACTTGCCTGGCCGAGCTGTTGTTCAAGAAGAGAACGTTTTAGAGAACCAAGCTAGCAGGAAAACGAACCTGTGTTTTTTATACTTACTGCATTCCAACCAGTTTAAACTAATCAAAAGAGTACACTCCAAAAACTATATTCGTTTCAAAATGAACACACAATGAAAACCGCATGTAATAAACGAAAATAGTTAAAAATCCACTAAAACCATTTTAATTGTTTACAAATTATAATAATTTAAATTAAGGTTATGTCAAAGATAAAAGACTGTTAATTAATTGGATCATTAATCCAAAAATGAATATTTAAAAATCAAAATTTAAAAAAGGACAGAAATATATCCATTTGCTAAAAGTGAGATGAATATAATTTCTTTCAATTAAAATACAAATAACTACCAAATGCGAATTTTAAAAAACATCAATGAAATATAGATCATTGGGCACTAGATGGCAGCACTAAAAAATCAATTCTCGATACTTGCATTTTACCGAGAATTTTACGCAAATGTGGATAGATGGCAGCACTTGTATTACTTGAATTTAAATTTAAATTTAATGGATATTTTTAGAATATTGGAAATTATTTTGAATTCTGAAATGAAAAAAATACAACTTTTATAATGAAAATAAGAAGAGATGGAACATGTTACGTAAATGATAAATTTATCGTAACACACCCCCTTTAGTTCGTTAAAAAAAAAAAGAAAAAAAAATATATAGATATTCCGTTTCAGTGATGTTTCATTGTGTATTCAAGTGAATAAGGAACTTAAGGGTGTCTCAGATAAAATTATGGTACTGAAAATGTTAACAATCAACAATATGGAAACTGTTGGTAACTTGGTTCTACGTTTATTATTGAAAAAAAAAAATATATCAGAAATTAAAAAAAATGAAATTAAATGAAAGGAAAAGATAGTTTGGGCGCCAGTACATTTTCCAATGTACAAAAAAAATTGAACTGTATTTAAAAAAAACCAGAGATGAAACCTGCAGAGAAAATTCAGCAAAAAAAAAAATTTGTCTGTCATACCTATTTTAAGATTGATACAGTAATCTATATGCAGTAACTCATACCACATTATAGTATTACCTACTTTAGAGATAAAGCTCTCTAGGGCTTTTGTGAACAGTAATATATATGTAGAAACTTTATACTACATCATATTATTACCTACTTTAGAGATAAAGCTTTCTAGGGCTGATACAGTAATCTATGTGTAGAAACTGTGCACTACATCATAGTATTACCTACCGGAGGCATAAGAACCATCCAAAATTTTAATAAACACATAAAAAGAAAGTAAATAGATAAGTAAAAAAAAAATTAGAGCAACAAGGTAGTCAGAATTTAAGTTAAGAAATTGTAATTCAATCGTTCAAACAAAAATAATAAGATAAATACCCTTCTAAATTCAATAATAAAAAAAAATGTATAGGAAATTGAAAAAATTCAAAATATATTTTCCTGTAGAAAAAATTGTATGAAGTTAAACTTCGGAAATTATAAGGAGATAGATTTGAGTTTTAATCACTATTAAAATCAAAGCAACTAAGAAATAAAAGAACTTGTTAATTATCGATATTTAATATATTTATTATATCGAACACAGCGTGGAAAGCAGAGTGTGTGAACTCATAGAAATAACTATACGAACTGACTCAACATCAAGACAAAGAATTACAAACCCTTTCTTAAGTAAACGATTCCTCATCTGTTTATCTTACATATAAAAATTATTAAAAACACATTCAGTCATCCATAGCTGCGATATAAATTAGCAAAGTATAGGCTAATAATCAAAGTTTAATTTATTAATTTTTGTTTCACTGATATAAATATCAGTTTATCCAACACTCTCCTGGGGGGCTTTATTTGAAATCGATCGCAAATATCTGCGTGCACGCAAAATTGCATCAATTTGTTCGTATGCGCAACTTGTTAGGGTAAACGATATAGTGATTGGCCCCTTAAGAATTCTTTTGTTGTTTATTGTCAACAAAAAATACTTCTGACGAGTAAATTGAATTTCTATCATTTAAAATGATAAAACAACATTCGTAGTTCATGAATATAATGGTTTTCGAAGTTTAAACATATTATTGGAGTCAAAAACTGCAATAATAATTGATATTGACCAAAATGATAGTGATTGACCCCAATCATATAATTATTAGCCTCAGCTATTCCATGCCATGATTGATAAGTTTAAAAAAAAAGAGCCAAAATTGTAAAATGTATTGTATTGGTTGAAGTTTCGTGTGATATACATATATACATAGGTATATCGGACCTAACATGTGATAATAAAAAACAAATTATGGTTGAATAGTAATAGTTTATTAATATTGCTGGTTGTCGCACGTTTCAAACAAGTTTGACATGTAAAAACATCAGAATTCGATTTATGCATGTTATGTTTTTTTTATACAAATTATGTGATAAGATCTAGTACAGTTTTCACATCTAACACCTGAATTTGAAAAAGTAATATTGTTTGTACAAGAAAAACATATTCCTGAATTTAAATTATTTTTAACGAAAACCAATGACGAATCTACAACTTCATGGATGTGTTCATTAGGTTTTTCATTTTCTTCAAAGTCCAGTTTCCTTGTTACCTTATAGAGTTTTCTTTCTTCTGTCGTTGGTGCCAGTATATGCTGCGATATTAAATTAATTTTGGTACCAGGCTTCATGTTTTCAAAATCAGCATTTTCAATTTTCCCTTTTGTATCCTCTTGATGGACCTGTACTTTGGTGGTAATTAAGGTACACAAAGGTTCATCATCTCCACTGCTATCACTGAAACACTCACAAATATCATTCCTGTTATCTGTGGTGTCCAAGCTGTTAGGTGAAATATTTTCTTCTCTTGGCAGTTACTGTAATATTTCCTTCGGTATTTTCTGCAATGGTGCACTGGTTCTATTGTCAAGCTTAATCTTCTTTGAAATATTTATCTTCTGCTTTGTTCTTTTTATTCCCTGTTTTTTGTTTGTTTGTTTTTCAAGTGCAGCCCTCTCTCTAGTAACTTTCTTCAGTTCTCTTCCCTTTTTTCTATTTTCCTTTTCCTCAAGCTCAGCCCGTTTTTCAAGTTCTTTCTCATCATGTAATTGTTTCCAAGATGATGAGGATAATATAAAAGAAGTTTTTTGGGAAGTCTTTTTTCCTTTTCTTTGTGGCGTATTGGGGTAGAATTGAATAGAATTATCGAAAGTAATTGTAATAGGATCATCAATAATAATTTCATTAGGATTATCTATAAAAATTTCATTTGGATCATCTATAATATTTTCACTAGGATTATCTATGTTTATTTTATTACGATCATTTATCGTAATTTTATATGGAGCATCCTTAATAACCTTATCAGGGCTATATAAGGTAATTTCCTGCCAAACGCCGTCTTTCTCTCTATGACAATAGGTGCACTCAAAATATCCACTTCAAATATCTTATTAACGTTTTCTGAAGTCTTTAAATCATTTAGGCTATTATTTTTATTAGTACACCCAGAATATTCGTTTTGAAGATCGCCTGTTACAGTGTTTACATTATTTTGGTCTTCTGTCATCGTATTGTCAATTATATCTTTTTCACTACCGTTCTCTACTAAAGGTAGGGCTTCCTCTCCTTCAAAATTTCCTGCCAATAATGTCCTTAAACCTACTGAACTTCATAACATTTTCATCGTTAGGTTGGGGTAAGATACTAGAATCTTTTTACTTAGTTTTCTTTTTTCCTAGACACTTACTAAAGTCTATTGAACTGGGATTCCAAGGATATAATCCGCATGATTTAAAACCTTTAATTATTATTTCTGGGCGGACTGATTTTGAAATTACCACTTTCAGTTATCCTGCAAACTCCTTTTTGGATAATTCCTCAGTCGGATGACTCCTTCGCCATTCAATAACACCCTTCCTCCAACCATCTTTTAATGGCTTAAATGTTGATACGTCAGCTGGCTGTAGTATTCGAGTGGCATTTGGATAAAGAGCCACAAGAATAATTTGAAGATTGGTACAAAGGTTTTATGGCCATCAACGAAGAGTATTACAGGAAACTGAATGCCTACTTTTTTTTGATGAGGGTGAACACTGTTAGCTACATATTCATAAAATATTTCAGTTTTCATCCATCCTGTGTCGCTAGTCGCAAATGTAAATCCCTCGGGTATGGAGTCACCTATCTCCTTGCGAAGTCTTTTTTCTGGGTATATAATTAATGGTGGTGTTTATCTTCCTGCAGCACTGAAAGTGAATAACACAGTAAGAGTTGACCTTGCTTTCCCCAAGTCAACCTCATACACGTTTTTGGTACCCTTTGGTGCTATTACTCTTTTATTATGTGGACAGAGTTGAAAGTTGGTTTCATCGGCATTGAAGAGCCTTTCTGGGTGTTCAAGTACTTCATTATATCCTTTTTAAATCAAATAAGAGTGTATACAGTCAAACCACTTTCTTATATCTTGCTCACTGATGACAGATGAAGCTGCAGTTACTCCTTCGGATTTTCGTGTGGTCAACTCGGAATACCTTTTCATGAAAGCCTTGTACCACCCATCACCAGGTAGATTATCTTTAAATGGGTTTTCACGAGGGGAATCATCTAAAAATTGTTTAACAGATATTTGAATAGCCTCTTTTTTTCGGGGAAACCCCTTTTTTGACAGTCCTTAATCCATTTAACTTATATGTTCTCTTCATGGTTAGTTAATACCGGGGAAGGTCCATGAGATGATTTGGAAAATTTGTCTGAGAGTCTAAATTGTAAAGTTGCTCTCGGAATGTTATATCTTCTACTAGCCTCTCGTATGTGCATTCCATTCTTGATTTCTTCAATAGTTTTAATTAAGCTCTCCTCTGAATATTTTTTATATTACTATAAAATATACAAATTTCATAAAGATAGTAATTGGCACTCAAAAATTTCGATTCAAAAATGTTTTTCTCGTGTTTTTTTTTGCTAAAATTCAAATAAACTCCCACCCAAACGGGTATACAATAATATTATTCAATATTATGCGTATTTTGATACATAAATTACAAATTAAAATAGCTCATTACTTACCTGTTTTAAATTAAATTGCTTCAAATCAAAACTTGTCCACGCACGTTGTTGTGGTATCAGCCATTACATGACAACTGAAGGGTGCAATACGCGGGAAATTTTTATTTTGCCAAAGTACAATTTACACTATGCAAATATCAATCTCTCGATTCAAAAATCTTTGTAGGACCAGAATTAAACGTATTCAAAATATTAATGGCAAATAACTGTCGCGGGGCCAACTACTGCATTGCTTACCCTATGTGCGAATAGCATTATTTGAAATTGACATTGGACATGTGCATCCCTATTTGCGTGCACGCAAAAGATGCACTCGCTCGCATCGTTGCCAGTTTTCTTTTTACAAAATGTTAAAAATCTACCATATAAAAATGAGTGGATTTTTGAATTTTACGATATTTTGGTTGACGCTGACGTATATTTTACGATGACATTTATTTATTAAGATTTTTTTGATGCTTTGAAGTTAGAATTTTTTAAAATATGTTTCGTGTTTCTCTATTTCAATTTCCATGTGTGAAACGCATGACGTCATGGCTTGGACGAACTCTGAAGTTTGATGATTAATGTTATTTCATATCAAATTGCCCAAATATGAGCTTGAAACTTTTTTTTACCCAATTACTCAAATAAGGATTTCGAGGAAAACAAATATTCTTAAAAAATTGGGTAATTACCCAGCGGTTGGCAACACTGTATCGAACTGTCGCGTTCCTGACCGTAGGTTGTATTTATGTGTGAGAGGTTGTGGTGGGAGAGGGGCGGGTCTTCGTAGCACGTGGCTAGTCTGAACTTTTTCTGTACTCAATGGGATCTTTCTCGAGTTTTTCCTGTTAAAGTTCTCCTTATGTTTGTGGATTTCTATAGCTTCACTTACAAGACGATTGTGGTATCCGAAGTCGGTGCAAGCAGCTTGACCTCACTAAAGAGTATTTCGTGATTCCCTCCAATAAGCGAGTGTTTCGCAACTGCTGATTTTTCTGATTGTCCTAGTCTGCAGTTTCTTTCGTGATCGCTGCTCCTGGTTCCCATGAATATTTTTGTTGTTACAATATTCCTATGTCCTTACAGGCTTTCCCTATCCTGTTTGTCACCCGAGAAATGAAAGGCAGAAAATGTGAGTCTGTTTTTTATTTACTTATATTAATTATTATTTCATACCTGATGGATAATATTTATCTTCATATTCCACAATGACCTGTTGGTGACTGTGTAGATATATACATATTCTCATTTTTACTAAGATCCAGATCTTCATCATGATAAGCGAGTCGCATATCTGAATCAGAGCTGCTTTCTTCATTGTTGACAATAGTTAGTTTAGCGATTTTTTGTTGATAGACGTATAAACCGAATCTAGACGCAATTATAATTTTTGAGGAAACGATTTAATATCTAAGATTTGAAGTTATTGAAGAAATCGTGTACATTGACATCGCGTAGAATACTATATAGTCTATAGCGTAATCGGTAAGGCACCGATCAGTGTCACTAGGCGGCTGCATTTTAGTTATATTATAGCTAGACGTGACGGTTCTAAAGTCAACAGTTTCAGTTACTGAATTCTCGTGAATTTTTTTTTCAACATATTGTAAATAAATTTTTTGGAAAATCTGGTTTCTGCTTCTTTGATTTCCGCCATCGTTGTACAGCTGCTGAATTATCAATTTCTATTACGTTCTGTTATGCAGCAAATATTAACTTTTTTCTTGTGTTTTTTTTTTAAACAATTTTCAATTCAGTGGCTTTAGGATTTGATTTAATCTTGCCCTTCATTTCACTTATAAAACGACCTAATTTCAGGTTGGTTTTTCCTTGCAAAACTTAAATCTCTGTTTAGAACCAGCTTTCGACAATTGAATTGCTATACCGGTCACATTGCAATATGTCGGGCCATAGTAGCACAAAAGGCATAACGCGACTCAATAGGTACTTGGAAAAACTCGGAGCACTTATATGAATTCTTGCCACATTTCTCTTCAGTTTCCATGGTTTCTTTTGTTTTCATATTTTGTAAAATTTTATCTTAAGTTCTGACGCACGACAGGAAAAATTGGGAAGTTGAATATTCCTCATGCACTATATCTTCATTAAAATCAATAATCTCTATCATGAAAATGATGATTGAATAACTGCTACGCACTACTTGGTGAATTCGAGAGAGAATTGACTTTTTCACATCTGCGTCAAAATTTGGGGCATTGAAACGCATGACTAAAATACAATTGAATCTCTTCAAACGAAGTACGCAAAACTAAATTTGCCATTCCGCTTAAAATTCCCCCTTTGTTTTTTATTTCTCTGATGATTAATTGGAGAAAGTTTGTCACAAATTATCTAGATAAAATGAGAACAGCACAATTTTAATTTTCTCAGATGAAAAAAGTATGATCGTCTTTATAAGTGACAAACTTATAGCACAACTGAAGATAGGTTTAAAGGATAACATCGTTAGGAACATATCCCTATCGGCTAGCTCCTCAGATTTTGCCTTTTGGTAAACGTCAACGGATCTTGAATCCGAATCTACTTATTATATATTTGAGCACCTTTTTTTACAATTTTCCTTTCACTACCTTTCAACTGATAGGGATATTGACCTACATGATTGGTAGGTAGCCTTTGAACCTTTTTGGAAACGTCAAACGTTCTTTCTCGAATAGAATAGCAAAATTTGAGATATTTGCAAAGCTCGTGCTGGCAAATTTCATATTCAATTAGGGATTTCGACCCGGATCGTCCAATCTTTCTATCAACTCTATGTCCCAGTTGAGCGAGGAAACACTATATGTTCTAACAGACAAGATTTTTCCTCCGGAAATTGTACCTAATTTCGGAGTGTCTCGAGAGGTCAACAGCATTTGTAAACCGTTCTACTATTATCTTTACTAAGCTTTAAAATATTTTCGACACTTTTGGTGACAAGTCCTCCTCAATTTCAGTTTACCATTTTTTCTTGAGTGCAATGTTTTTATTTCCATTAAAAAAAAAAAATCATTATTTTGATTTTTTTTTTTAAATGAAATTTCTCAACTCAACTCAACTCAAAAATCTTTAATTCAATAATTACAGACATTGACATTTCAGGTAGAAGAGTTAGGCCCCCCTCAAACTAAATATATACAACGTTAACTTAACCTAGGACATGGACTTATTACTAAAAATACCAGCGTGATGCAGCACACTAGCGCCTAGTGCGCAGTTTGGGCATTTTTCGGCACGGTCGATGTTCTGACCAGAAAGCCCCTGTCCGATCCTTGCTTGAAAGTTATCACAGCGTTACCTGGTGTCCCGTATACGCGTTCGCTGACAAATATCATGAAATGGCAAGCATTGGGCCTTTATACTGGCCTACCAGATGATATGGGAAGATGCCGGAGTAGGGGTTGCAGAGCGCGCTGCGCCCGTTCTGTGGGGAAAAATAAATAAAAAACCCCACTTTTCATTGACTTATACATATGTGATAGAAATAAATCAAAAAATTTGTGCCCTTATTGGGCGGTTTGGTCCAGGGGACGCGCTCTCAACAGCAAAAGCTGATCTCTAGGGGTAAGTGTTTTAAAGAGTATCAG